TTCTTATGTTCACTGTATTGTGTTAGTCCGACTCAAACCAGACTTTTATGGCCAGTTTCCCAGTCAAGGATTAAGCCTAAGCCTAGACTAGCTTTGAGTTTCAATGGTGAATCTCCATTGATACTGCAATTTAGTCCAAGACTAGGCTTAATCCTTGTTTGGGAAACTGGCCCTTAAAGTACTAAATTAAATTTCTGAAAGTCAGCCTAGGACACCCACATAACATGATTGGGAATCGATTTACTCCTGCATGTATACGTTCAATCAGACTCAAACTGGCCGAGGTGCTCTGCAGGTTCCCCCTCTGGGCTTTAATCCAGAAGAAGCTTGAAGCATAGCAGAGGACGTACAGCACGTATGAAATGTACAGCACTGTAAAGCTGTCCAATGCCAGCGGTCAACTAAAGGGTGCTTTCCCAACACACCAGGTACTGTACTTTTGGTACTTCAAGAAGGTACCAAAAGTACGGTAGTTCAAGATGATGGTTTTACACTGCCGTAGAAACTGGTACCGGTGCCGAATGACATCACAAAAGTGAGGTGGGGTATTTTGTACTGAATTGGAATAATGGCTGTAGTAGGACTGGACGACGTGCGACATTAATACCAACATCGCATGTTATGCACATCCAATTCTTACATCACGAGCCAGCTAGATTAAGATCAGGATTTTTCTTACCTTCAGTTTGGTATGGATATTATAGTGCAGGGAGTTAAATATTGCCAAAACATTTTTACTCTGTCATAGGAAAACAAAACTTTTCAATTTTTACAAGTTTTGCAATTTTAATGATTATTCCTTTTCAAGATTATCTAGTATATGTTTAAAGATCAGTTTAAAGTTTATCTCCCCTGCTTCTGAATGAACTCTGCATGCTTACTCAGAGACAATCATAATCATTTTCATCCTTTATATTATAGGACTGGACAATGTGTGATATTAAAACCTAACATCGCATGTTATGCACATCCAATTCTTATATCACTAGACAGCTAGATTAAGATCAGGCTTTTTCTTACTTTCAGTATGGTATGGATATTATAGCAGTCTCGCTAAAATATTTTTACTGTGTCATAGGAAAAAAAAACTTAAATTTTGCGATTTTAATGATTATTCATTTTTAAGATTATCTAGTATATGTTCAGTTTAAAGAACTACCACTGTTTTTGCTTGAGCGTTGCATGTGTTCTCAAAGACAATCATAATCATTTTCATCCTTGCTGTTTAAATTACTCCTAGATGGATTTGTGGGAAATTTATGTTGAACACCTTTTTTGTTTCATAAATACCCCAATATTTATGACAAAAAAAAAAATCACATTGCAATATTTGAAAGAATTCCAATATCCTGCTGTCATAGAATATCATACAAAAATCTTTATTTCTTGCTCTGCTATCTTGGTCTTGTTGTATCTGTTCTTGCAAACAGATTGCAATTAAAGCTTGTGCCACTTCATTTATCCAGCCATCCATTATTATTTTTGTTACATCTGAGACGTAATAGGTCAATCTAGTTAAACCTATAGCCCAGTTAAACCTACACTCAATTAAAGGATTATTAGGAACACCTGTTCAATTTCTCATTAATGCAATTATCTAATCAACCAATCACATGGCAGTTGCTTCAATGCATTT